AAATGAAAAAATGTGGTACAAAAAGAGCAAAGATGCAAATCTGGAAGGAGCCGAATTTATAATGCAAAAAGGCCATAATACAGCCATAATAAATAGAGAGAATGGCAATAGTGTGTTAGCCGATGCAGACCAAATAAGGGCCCAGGGTGAAGAGGAAGAACGAAACGATGAAGAAATGTCTTCAATTCCATCTGATAACGAGTTGGTAGAACAACCATTACAGAAGGAAACATCAGAAGAGGAAACAATGCAGCAGAAGAGGGCCAGAAGGAGTCTGAAAGTTTGGACGAAGACCAGATTATGCAAGAAAACACATATGACTACAGCCTAGCCTGGGACAAATCGAGATTTCCCAGAGAAAGAAATACAGGAGAGAGAGAAATAGAGCAAAGTGATGAAAATAGCAGGAGAAGGAGTACAAGATCTACGAGAGGAATAAAACGCTTAAGGTTCAGGGAGATGTAGTGATACTAGCAAATTAGTATGCATAATTTGCATAAGCATAAGTGAACACTCATATAAGTGGTCACTGAGAGTAACCACCAGTAGAACGAGTCTGGTGGCTGATTAGTACCAACCTCTACTTCACAACAGAAATAGTGGAGGAAAATAGAGAGAAGACTAAAAAAAAAAAAAAACCAAGAGACCAGAACATCACTTGACTGTCACAGAGATGACATATGAAAGTGAATATCTGACACATAGGGTTCTTCCTAATATTGGTGTGCAACTGGTGTGGTTCTTGCCGAGCAAGTGGCTAATGTTTTGCATGAATTCAACAGTGTGAGCACTATCAAGGCTATCCTTGTTGACAAACACTAATGTCAATTCAGGCTGTGAAGGTGGATTTGCTTCAAATCTAGAAAGAAAACTTAAAAGAAATCTTCACACTATTGGTTGCTCCTTGCACCAAAATAAACTTCCATTTAGAGCTCTTTTTAAACATGTAGATGGTACCACAAAATAGCCCTGCCACATTCAATGGTCCACTTGGAAGATTAGGTGCAAATGATTACCATAATTTACCCCAAATATCATTTTCAGCTGTTGGCAGTCCTCTGGATTCTATTTTTAAAATTGAAAATGCAGATACCCTTACCTGTGACCAAAGACTCCTTTCTGAATATACAGTAGGTATTTCTAGAGGTAACATGGACTCTAGATTTGTATCATGGAAAATTGGTCCATTAAACCAGGCAAGGTGGTTAACTTTAGGCATCAGTCTGATGTGTTTATGGACTCATGGTGTATACCCACGAAATATTTCAACCAAACTCCGCAGTTCAATAAATTTTATTGTGGATGCGTATGCCATTTGCTGGTTCGAAAATAAAAGAAATAACAAGTTCCACAATCAGCAAATGTATATTTTCAATATGATCCAAAGGATTAGGAAGCAACCATATGAAATCCAACAGATCACATTGAAAAATATACAATACAATGCTTTTGCCTTACTGCCTGAAAATATCTTATATTCAATGGTCAAATCTGATGAACTGGAAGTGAGGAAAGAAGCTATAAAAAGAATTTTGGCCATTAGGTTAGTAAGTATTTATTCATATAAAACTGACTAAATTAGTTATGCCGATTTATGGAATCATTTTAAGGATTTTATCTAATTTCACCATGAATATTAAAGCAGTACAGAGTGCATTTTTTTAAAAAATAACTCAATTTTCATATTCTTTCCACAGTGGGGAGCAAACCAAGAAAAGATTAAAAAGAATCACAACTATCAATTTTAAAGCTATGCACTGGACACAGTTAAAAGATACGTCATTAAGTGGAGTTTGTGAACCACCACTTACAAGAATTTTCTGAAAGTGAACTTTGGGAATTAAATGGTACGAAGCTTGACTTGCCAGATTTGCCCTCACATTCTCATGGCATGTAACGGGCAGTCAAGTTAACAACAGAAGCTTCCCAATCTGTGTATGGCTTTGAAGCAAGGCAACAGCACATAATAGCAAAAGCTTTGTGTCAGAAATTAAGACCATCAATTTCATCTGATGGTTCTTATATGGAGCTATTTGACTCTATATATTAAGCCCTATTAAACTATTTTTTATTTTTTAATATTTGTTTGTTTGCTTGTTGTATCTTCATACAAAACAGAAAAAAATCAATTTTTAAAGTATTCAACTAATACTGCTTAATTTATGGGGTAAAAAACAGCATTTCAAAGTCGTCAGTGATTAGGGGGGGGCAGATTTTCAATTTGAAGTTTACTTATAATTTGTACATTTTATTTCATTTTGCTAAAACAAAATAACAACATTCCCTGATTTAAATAGTGAAATTGTTTGTTTTTTTTATCAATATTTAATCCAAATCTTGCAAAATTGTGGATTTTTCAGTGCATCTTTGGCTAGGATCTTTGATGCCAAATGCTCCAAAAAAAGTTGAAGTGTCAGTGTTTTGTATCAGTACTTAATAGGTCAATACACAACTTTCGGTACTGTCATACTTGAACGTACCTATTCTATTATTAATAGACTCTCCCACACACAAGTAGTAGTAGTAGTAGTAGTAGTAGTAGTAGTAGTAGCGGTCGCCAGTTTAGCTCAGTGGTGTTGAGTGAGTCAGTCGATGTCGGACATTGAAGTATCAACCATCACAACTAGATTGCTGCGTCATTAACTCTTATTTCAAGTTCCTAACGTTTTGTACGTCGGACCCTTTTAGGACCGACTTAGTGAAATACAAGCCTCCACTGTGAAAACTACTCTACAACACATTGGCGACGAGGAATTCGTAATTCACACGGGAAAAGAAAAAGTTTTCGCTCACTTTACAACACATTGACGACGAGGGATTCGTAATTCATACGGAAGAAAATTTTTCGTTCTCTATAACAACACATTGGCGACCAGAATTTGAAATTCATACGAAAAAAAAATTTAAAGAAAAAAAAAATTTGTTTCGACATATACAACACTTGGCGACGAACGTATTTTGGATTCCTACGAAAAAAAAAAAAAAAAACTTTGCATTTCACTCTAAAACACTTGTCAACGTGGATTCGTAACTCATACAGAAGAGAGAAAAAAAAAGTAACCCGCCATAACAAACGTGTCGTACGACAGATTGCGTTTCACACAGTGAAAAAAAAAAAAAAAAAATTTCACTCGCCACATTATTTAGTGACGAAATTCGTTTTTCATACGGAGGAAAAAGGAAAAAAAAATTTGCTCGTCAAATTTTCGGCGACAGCATCTCGGATTTAAAAAAAAAAAAAAAAAAAAACTTGGCAAAGTTTTTTCGAAAGACAAGACGTCAACTTAGTGACGAAAAAATCAGTCGTATTCTCAACTAAGAAAAGAATTTTTTTTTTCGCAATCACGAATTGCAAATTCGTTTTGGACCCACCTCTACAATATTTAAGCATTGTGTAAACTTTTTGCGACGATGGAGGAATGCAAAAATATATTCCAGGAATTTTTTAAGTTCTAGACGGAACAACAAATGACAATATTGGAGCAACAGAAAACATTCCAGATACAACTACAGGAGGACACATAGACAGATTCAATTTCAACGAGAAATGGAACTGATGCATAAGGAGTTTCAAAACAAAATTCTGGAAATAACTGAGAAGAGGAAAGAGAAAAATCTACAAAATGATTCTTTCCCAGAGAATACTATATGGAATTTGATTGAAATATTCACGTACAGTCCAGACGAAGAGATAACTTTTGAAGAGTATTTTAAAAAATATACGGACGTATATTACCGTCATAAAAATAATAAATAATAAAAAAATAAAAATGCAACTCGACACTGGTTCCGACCTAGAAGTTGGGGAAACCAACTTTAATGAAAACAAAAAAATGCGAAAAGCTAAACTATTTGTCATAGAAAATACCACAAACTTACTTGGTATGGATTGGATAACAGAATTTCAATTATGGGATTTACCAATGAATTCTTTCTGTTACAAGGTTGAAAATTTAAACTGCGAAGCCCAAAAATTAGTTGGAAAACTTAAGAGAACTTTTCCTACTGTTTTTTCTCCAGGTTTGGGAACGTGTACTAAGATGGAGGCAAAATTACAGCCAAAACAAAACGCTCAGGCGATATTCAAAAAGAAACGGAATGTGCTGTTTGCTTCAATTGAACAGATAGATGAAGAATTGGACAGATTAGAGAAAACGGGTATATTTAAGAAAGTTGAATGGGTAACACTGACAATATACGTAAAAAAACAAGCTCCAGAAAGTAAAAATGAAGCCGACACCAAAAAAACTGAGGAACGAGTTACCTGCAGCCAAGGACATGCAGTATTATTAAATGTTTTAAATCAACAAGAACCTACAGAAACTATGAGTCCATCTTTAAGAAGCGCAAAGTGGAAGGTTGTTTCTGGTAACGCTATGGAGATATAAAAATAAAAAAGTGGATTGGCTATATGAGGTACTTGGTGGAAGGGGAAAAACTCACATGTAGTAAACAGATCAGACAACATTTTCAAGTTCCTAACATTTTGTACCCTTTTAGGACCGACTTAGCGAAACACAAGCCTCCACTGTGAAAATTACTCTACAACAGGTACATTATTCTTTTTGATAGTTTAAAAAAAGTGAAAAATCAACCTGCCCTAATACACATATATATCACTATCACTTCTCAACTCAAACACCACTGACTGTCCTTTCTTCTTATTTTCCCCTCAGTCATAAGTCTGTAGGTCCACTAGCTTTGATGAATAATGTTTTTACCTAATTACATTCAATTTGTATGGATCCATGTGCCGAAGTTAAGCTAAAACATATTCATTTCACTTTGATTTTATTTTTTATAAAATGTATCCAGTTTTTTTTTTTTTTTTTAAAGAAAATTTAAATAAATTTTCAATTTAATCTCCAACTGAAAACTCATCCCAGAAATTCAAAGATAACCTATCCATGCATAGTTGGATATTATGCTCTTAACCAAAGGCAATTATAATTTCTATCTTGTGCCATAGTACTTTTTTCTAAGAGAAAAAAAATCCTTACCTTCTTCTTCAACTTTGAAACCAAATTCATCATAGCGGTAATCCAACTGGCCTTTGGCATCTTCTGGCTGTAATCAAATATGGCAAATTTATGTCAACACTGCAAATTAAAAATTTCAACAAAGGAAGACAGAAGGAAATATTGTCTGAAATTCTAAACAGCTAAATGAAAGCCTAATAACAAAATATTGGAAACATTGGCATGTAATATGCTAAAAACATCTTAAACAATTCCAGAACAGATCATCCAATGGACAATACTCTCATCTCTTATATTTTGCTGAAATTTGGCATATAGGTAGATTCTGTACCCAAAGTTCAGTTCCTAAACTGACCAAAAGTTTAAAGTTATGGCCATTTGAATCTTGTCATTTAGCTGTATTTTGATAGTTTTCCTCATATTTAAATCTCCATACCTTTTTTCTTCTGAGTGCAGCTATAAGTATCTATTTCAATGAATAAGTATCTATTTCAGAATGAATTGATCTTTTTCAAAAATGCTTTATTTATTTGAAGACCAAAAACAAAATTTTATTGGTAAATGATGATTTTTCCCCAAATTAATCTTTTCCTTTGTTAAATGGATGAGGGGATATTGTTTGTGCCCTCTGTGAGATTTTACTCTTGTCAATTTCTTGTGATTAAAAACAGATGCTTTTACATTGCTGTATATACCACTATTGCTTTCAAAAATGTTTACCTTTAATTTACCCACTGATTAAAATCTACTTAAAATAACAAGAATAAACAATATCACTGGAAATATATTATAGTATATAACTGCTAATAATATGGATTACGTCAATAATTAATGGATGTCTCCCTTCATTACATTTACATATTTTAACTCTTTGAATACTCAATATTACTTTCCAAACAACCTAATAGATTAAAGAGATATTAAGAAATGGACATATAATTCTACATAGAACATGAAATGAAATTTTCATAGAATAGATTAAAAAATGACTGATAAATGCATTTATTCTGAAATCTTAGTTTTTTTCATCTCCTGTAAAAAAATTTGGAAGACTTTTTAACATCCACAATGAAATGTTCTAGTGATCAAAATCCATGAAAATATGTAGATGCTAAATTTGCTGAGTATGGCAAATGCAGAACAACCTCTCATCCTAACAATCTTATTTTTTGGGAGAGTTGTTCCACAGAATGTGTCGTTGCTAACAAAGCTGAAAATAACATTTCTCTTTACCAAAGCAGGACTCTTTCAATGTAATGTTTCAGTTACCAGATCAAGCTACTTCCGAATAAATGCTTGAAGAGATAGTTTTTTTTTTTCATGTTCTAGTCACTTGTAATGGATGAGATCTTTCATATTAAAACCATACACAAAGCAAGGACTCTCATGGATGGAGTGCCAATTTTGGTGTTTGCAGTGATTTCTCATTTTGTCATTTCATATTCTGTTAACAAGCAACACCCATTCTACATCACTCGCAACAATGTGACACAAAATTGTTTAGCATTCCTGGTTAAAAGACTATTATAGATGGTAAAACATTGTGTTTGATTCTCAAGCAAAAGTTCATGAAGTATCTAAATTCCATCTTCACAAATTTCCTCAAAAATGAACTATGTCATGCTGTTGGATAGAGATGATAAACTCATTCTAGATTCAGTTTCCTCATATTCAACTGTGGTTTGGCTATAGTTGGTTGACTTCTAATTCATAGCAATGAAAGACATTTTTGAACACCCTAAAACAAAAGAAAAGGTTTTGTACAAAGAGATGTGCTTATAAGCTGTTTTAGCAAATTTTGGTCATTATTCAAGAGATTTCAGGTTGCATTATATGTATAACTTGATAAGCACTGAAATTTCACCAGTTATTAGTTGCTATTATTAAGAAAAAAAAAAATTTTTAAAATACATTACTTACAGGATTATTCAGTTTAGATAGAATATCCTGTGGCCACATAGATGGTGTTAATGCAGAGAATGGACCACCAGGTGTTGGAGTAAAATCAGAATTGCTGTTGTAGTGAGGAATAGCAGATATACTGATTCCTTCACCAGTTTCAACTGCAGCATAATCATCTTCATCTTCAGAGAGTGTATCAGCTGTAATAGATAAATAAAATAAATGATGTAACATGAACAAAAGGAAGGTAATAAAAAAAGTTTAGCAATGAATAACAACATTGATTGATGAAAAATTCCCAGCACCATGTTGTGTACAATGTTAGAAAAATATTAGAAATGTCTTTGAAGTTTACTCGGCTCTTGTTCAAGAATTCAATATCATTTAAAAACCTTAGGAAGAATTCAAAAGCTTGTAAAATGATTTCTTCATTAACTTATGGAAAGAAATATAAGTGTGCAGAGAGAAACTTTTTCTTCTTTGCTCAAAACAGAAACAGTTTATCTCTGTCAGTGAGAAAACCTATTACAAAAATCCCAAACTGAGAAAATCATAGGTGGATCCAAAACAACTTTCACCATTTCAAGCTACTAGTGAAAAAGTTATTCTGTTTTTAGTGCATATAGTGAAAATGTTCCTGTTCTCCACTGTGTTTATATAAATTACAAAATTTATGGATGTAGAACTATGTTATTTTGTGCCAACACAGCCATGTTCTGTGTTAGGTTTATAATTTAGTTGATTAAAATCATATAAAACCTAACTATTCAATTAAATTAATGATGTCACACAACCAGGTTCCACATGAGTATTGTCTACCACGAAAGGTGTTTCAATACTTCACAGTGACAAAGACAGTGTGAAAAGATGTCATCATTAGAAAACTAATTTCAGTGGCTACTTGAATCCAACTAGAAAATATTGCAAAAGAAAAAAAAATGAATATATAAATTAACTTCCTGTTTTACAATCGGCATTACTATTGGAAACCATGGCATAACTGGTCAGTATTTAAATCATAGCCCACAAATGTATCACTCATTTAATCTGCCTAGAGATTACCAGTCCTTCATTGAATAAAATCTATTTTAATTTTAATTATACAATAAATATTAACTCCCAATAATTGGAACCAATAGATTTTCTTTCAGCTATAGGTTGAAGATGATAATAATACAAGTCGATAATGTGATATACTCTACCATCGGCTGTGCATTAAACAATGACTTGTTTAATTTTCAACTTCGTGGAAAAAAAAAAACACAATCAGGTGATGTGAAGAGAGAGTCAATACCCCGTGAACATTTCATCCTCATCAGCAATACCCCCATTCATATCATGACTAACAAGGACAGAAGCACAAGGTGCTTCCTCCTGTCTAACAACAAACAGAACTCACATTGAGGACAAAGAATTGTCTGTGCAGCAATGCAAACTATGTAGCCTTCAATAAGGCTCACACAGCAGGCATACAACTAGGCAGTGAAAGAAGGCGTGCTCAATGTCTGTGGAAGACACGTTGAAAATATCCCAAATATTACAATTAAGTATCTTCATTTTAAGCTGCTGGAATGAAAGGAACAAGAAATATAATTATTAGATCACAGTGCAGAGCATGCCACCTTCATAAGACTCCTTTTCTAAAGGCTAGTCATTTGAAATTTCATTTAACACTAGCAGTAGAGCCCGGCGTTGCCTGGGGATATAACAGTAAGAGATAGATCAAGTATCCACCATCATAAAGGCTGAAAAATAAAATTGGCAAAGATTATTGTTTAAGGTTGACGAACACGCATGTCTTAATTAGTTTTTTTTAACGAATTGGTCAAACTCAAACAAAAACATTGTTTTCAATCATTATGAGTCTCTACCGATTGAATAGAATTTTATTATAAACAATTGTCTTGTAAATGGAATTTTTAAAGCATTCTGAATGTAAAAATAAAGAAAAAAGTGTGCAAGACAATAAGAAACACTACATGCCAAAAAAAAAAAAAAGTGAAGTTTTGTTGAAATCGGTTGAAAAAATGTAGGTAGCCTTTCTGTAATCTTTTAGTTTTACAATTTATGATTTTTACTTATTGAATACAGTAAAAAAAATTGCATATTTTGCTTGTGGTGATTCATAATTAGAATTCTGATTTGAATATATTTTCCACTCGTTGTTTCTAATACAAAAAAATTAACTTTATTTGGGTTTATTAATTATGATCTAACAAATCTTATTCATTTAGTAGCCTTCTCTGTAATATATAATAATCTTTTACAATTTATGATTTTTTATTTATTGAATACAGTAAAAAATTGGACACCATGTGTATTTAAAGTAGTTTCCCGTTCGGTTATTATTTTTAGTTAGGACTTGTGTATGTTTAAATTTCATTATCTTTCCCTAAAGATAAAGAATTTATTCCGATGTTTGTATTCGTACAATCAGTAGAGATTGTTAGATTATTGTTTAAGGTTGACGGACACGCGTGTCTTAATTAGTTTTTTTTTTTTTTATTCTTTACGAATTGGTCAAACCCAAACTCAAACAAAAACATTGTTTTCAATCGTTATGAGTCTCCCAATTGAATAGAATTTCATTATAAATAATTGTCTTGTAAATGGAATTTTTAAAGCATTCTGAATGTTAAAAATAAAGAAAAAAGTTTGCAAGAGAATAAGAAACACTACCTGCCAAAAAAAAAAAAAAAAGTGAAGTTTTGTTTTATCAGCTGAAAAATATAGGAAATCCGCTCCCATATTTAAAGGAACCCACACACACAAACAACCCAATGTGAGTTGTTCCCCTTCCATTTTCACGATTTTCACCCAATATAATGCCTCTCTTGACAACAGCCAGATCTCAGAGAGGTCAGCCTGTATCTGAGAAAGAACCTTCAGTGCATGACAGCATTCATGGTAAAAGAAATATTCCCATCAAAGCAAAACGTGGACCTTCCCCTCAGCCAAATGCCTACTCCTCAAAAATAGAAAAGATTTTTTGGCATCTTCCTTCCAGAAGGTGCTGTTCTCATCATTCTGTGTATACATCCTGTTGTGATAACAGCCAATTACCCTCACTATCATAAATGGACTGATCTATTCATGATATGTAGTCCTGGATAATTATCTAGGGAGAGAAGATAATACTATTACAGTGACTTGTCTAGCTGAATATTGAATACTACAATCCCAACTAACAGTCGAGTTAATTGTTGTGCCTTGCCAGACCCCACATCACAACAGTTGGCGACAAGGATGATTCACTATTTATTATAATAGTGGTGGACAAAGATCTGCTTTTTTTTTCAACTTGTGAAATCAGTACATTGAAAAAAAAACAAAAAAAAAACTTATACCAGAAACAACAAAACATTAAAACATCTAAAATATACATTGGAAGCAATTTGAAAACAGTAATGTTGGCATTAATAAAACAACAGTAAGAACAATGGCAACAGAAACAATAATTCCAGGAAACACTGTTGAGATAACAAGAACATAAAAAATACTACAACTTTTTATGAAGAGTAAAAGTAACAAAAACACATCTACTTTTTCTCACAGGACTCAATAGTAAATGCAATTGGGGAATTTAAATATAACCCTAATGAAGAGGTTACATTTGCAGCATACTACAGATGCTATGAGGAAATCTTAAAAAAAAAAAAAAAAAAAAAACTGCATAAGCTGGTTGGACAAGAAAAAGTGCACTTGTTACTAAGAAAGTTAGGACCTACAGAGCACAAAAAATATGTAAATTACATCTTGCTGAAAAAAAATCAAGTGAATTGTCATTTGAAGAAAATATTACGTTATTAAGTAAAATTTTCAGTGAATGAAGTTCACTGTTCAATACACATTGGCAATGCCTAAACCTTGTTAAAAAAAAAAAAAAAGAAGAAGAATATGAAGATTATACCACTTATGCTAGTATTATAAACATAGAAGGTGAAAAGTTCTAGTTAAACAAACAACTGACATGTTTAAGTACTTGTTCTTTGTACAAGGGTTAACAGCAAAGAGAGATGCAGAAATCTATTCTAGAATTTTGACTAAGCTTGAATAGGACTCAAAATTGACCTTGCAAGATGTAGCTGAAAAGTATTGAAGAATAGTGAACTTATGACACAATATGGCTAGAATTGAGGAAAGAGATATATCTCACATAAAATAGCTTTGTCCCAAAGCATATGGGAAAACAAAGTCCATGTTATCGATGCGGCAAACTACACTTCAAGAGAAACTACCCTTTTAAGAACAAAAAATCTTTTGACTGTGGAAAGGATTTACCTTGAAAAGTTAAAAAAAAGAATAAAACGTAAAAATTCATGAACAGACCACAGACAAGGTTCAAAAGAAAAAAATTGTAACTGTAAAATAAATAGAAGAAATATAAAGTTTCAGATAGACACAGGGTCAGATTTAACTATTATAAACAAAGGAACATGAGAAAGAATCGGTAAACCAATATTAACATTACAAAAATAAATTGCTCAGGCTGCTACTGGTCAAAAATTTAAAGGGGAGTTCACATCAGATGTATCATTTTATAGGAAAATGGTGAAGGCTAACGAGTAACACTATTTGGGTTGCTGATAATTAATAATAATAATGACTTGGAATATCAACAAAAACAAGATAATGATGAATAACTTAGCATGAAAATGGTTAAACAATATCAAGAATGATAGACTGATAATAAATGGTTCCCAGAGAATCAAGATTTATACAATAGACCAGATGACCGGCTAAAAGCAATGTTCAGTTTGTATTAACAGGTCAAGTGTTGACAATTTTTGGCAAACAATGTCTGGATCTGACATGAGGAGAATTGGATTAAACTAAATGAATTCATTTTGCCAGATGTCAGAATGGAAAACAATAAATTGAAAACCTGCAAAATGCTGACCTTTGGCTGAATAATGTGAGTTGCAAAAATTTCACTGGGAAAGTGTCTCTTGGGTCAAAGGTGAGGAAGCCAATTGTTGTGTCAATTCACTTATGAGGTAATAGCATTTGGAACCATAATTTTTTAAAATTAATCTTCAACTGAATTCTGGAGGTGACAGGCACAGAAGAGTGATCAAGGAAGGATGACGGGATGCCTGCACCCACTGAAGGGTAGCGGACACAGACGAGACATTAAGGAGGTTGAAGGAGCTGCCCACGCTCATTGGAAACTACAGATGGGAGATGGTAATAAGAGAAA